CCATCTTATCCTTGTCTCCTCTTGTTTTCCTGTTTTCTTCGCCTTCTCTTTCAAGCGAATAGTCATAACCAAAAGTTAGTATATGAATAGTGAAAAAAAAAAAAATTCAAACGTGTCAATTATTTTATTTACTCCCTTAATGTTAATTCTCTCATGGTTGTCCCCATTAGAATCCATTACTTTTTTCTTTTTTCGTAAAAAAAAAAAAAAAAAAAAAAAAAAAAAAAAAAAAAAAACTATATTCTTTCCTTCTCATATCCCTAACTTTTCAATAAAATATTAACTCTACTGTACTATTTTTTCAATTATGTTCCGGTCGAAATGTAACACTTAAAAAAAAACCAGGGGGAGTGAAAAAAAAAAAACAAAACAAAAAGGCTATGTAGAATCATAGACGTTCAAAACCATAGACGCTTGTCCAAAACTATACACTCTTATTAATTTTTATTTTTTTTTATAAAGGTAAGAAAAATAGAGGACATTAGGAGACCCTCCTCACGAGGGGAATTCCTAATGCATCAAAGGAGAGAATAGTAGAAAGACTAGAGTTATTATAAGGAGTAATGTCCATACTATGACTAACTAGATGACCTACATGCTATCCAATTAGCTACCCGATTTGCCTCTCGAAAAATTTGTCGTATGCTCCAATCATCAAATTTGGTGAAAAGAGTGCAAATGTCTTTAATGATGCGCTGAATCTGCCAGGAAATTGACCAAGTGCCCTTGAGAGAGTTGATGGCCAGGAGATTATCGCCATCGATTTGAATATTTTTTATCCCAAGCTCAAGGGCCAAAAGAATACCTTTGTGAAAAGTTGTCGCCTCAGCAATGAAAACTTTGGTGTGCCGAGATTGAAGGTCTCGAAAAAACTATACACTCTTATTGACTACTCGGTTGTATTAACATAGCGGTCCATACATGACCTATACGTCTCCTTATCAATGGTGAATGGTCACAATTAAACTCACAACTCCCGAATTTATCAACATCCAAACAAAACTTCCATTCATAATACGTTAGCAATAGATTCAGAATTAGTTATGTGTACAACGTTAATTACAATAAAATCTGCAAAAATTGACACGTAAATGCCCACTAATTTAGCAAAAATAATCCCTTAGCATTAAATTATAGCTTAGCAACGTCCAACTACCTAGATCAACTCTATAAAACCATGCACGTATTTACACTCATACTACACAACTTCATAGAAAAAATATATATATATATATATAAATATATATACAAAACAATCAACAAGAAAATTAAAAAAAAAAAAAAAAAGATTTGTGAAAATGGCAAGTGTAATGCTAAAGAAGTTAGTATGTTTCGTGGTGGTTTGCATGGTGGTGCAAGCCCTTGTCATGCCGAATGGAGTCGAGGCGGCCTTGACAACATGTGGTGCGGTGACCAAGTACCTAGGACAATGCATGCCGTTCTTGAGGGGCACGGCTGGGGGTGTACCATCGCCTAAGTGCTGTGCCGGGGTTGGAGGTCTTAAGGCCGCGGCTCAAACCACGGCTGACCGTAGGATGGCTTGTAATTGTATGAAATCAACAGCATCTAAGACTAAAGGTCTAAATTATAACTTTGCTTCTAGACTTGCTTCTCTGTGTAGGGTTCCCGTCAGCTACTCCTTTAACCCTAAAATCAACTGCAACAGGTAATATACTTCGTATTACTGTTTTTTTGCAATTTGATTTGTACACCCAACTTATTGTTTTATTGGAATATTATATATTTAAAAAGTAAAGTAAGCTATATTTAGAATTACATCGATTTCAATTTACTAGTAGTTCAATTTCAAATATTAATCCATTAAAATAGACACTAATTAAAATAATTAACTTGCAGATATTACTTTAAAAATCTAACAAAATAAACACTATTAGATGATATGAAGTAGATATTACTTGTGTCATAGGTAGGGTGGACAATTGTAAAATACAACGAGATTTTAAACATACTCTACATAGATTGATACTTTAATTAAGTTTTCAATCAATATCTTAAAAATGACCCCTAATCAAAGTCGTCTTATTATTTTCTAACGAAAGGAGTAATCAATATTTATATTTCAATACGTCTTTAATTTTATAACGGAAGAAAGCGAAATAATTTAATGAGTATGTACCATTTGTTTTGGCGTTTTGCAGCATACAGTGAAGCCTTGTGGAAGTATAACCAGGAACGAATTATGCGGGAATAAGAAAAATAAAGCAGTCTTCAGATCATATGTAGTTACATCTTTCTGAGATGTCTCATCAGTCATCATAGTGTTGCTCTAGTTGTTACTCTAGATATGCAATCATGTATGAATGATGCATGTCTTGCTTATATGTATTTTCAATAAGCCTTTTTTTTTTTTTTTTTTTTTTTTTTTTGGCGAAGATTTTCAATAAGTTATAATGTTGTGAAATCCTTATGAACTCACCTATATGTGACGCTATATTTCACTTATTGACATGGTTCAAAATACCTCTCCATGAGTTATGATTCTAGTGACTATTATACGTGAACACGTATCACTATATGAGATACGGAAGTACTTAATATTCATGAAGACAATAATTCAATTTTAGGTTTAATATGGGAATTCAACTTATGACTTTAAGTAGCACTGTCAAGGGGACTCGACTTGTGGGATGGACAAAGACTGTATTGCAATCTTAACTTCTGTTGCACATCAAATTCGGAGATTATGTTGATGCACTGCTGTACAGAGGCAAAAGTTGGCTACAGACGGGTATGCCTAAGAACAATAATGCCAAAATAACATCATCAGAGAACCATGATCACATTGTTATTATGACAATTACCCTACAAAGTTCAAAGCATATGCCCCTTAGGCCCTCACAGAAACTTTCCTCCGGTCTCAGATACACATACACTGATACACTGCAGGTCTGCAGCCTCCCATATATTTTGATGCACCAGTTGATACAGTGCAACCACGCAATTAACATCTGTATGATTCTCTTTGCTACAACTGACGTGATTCAAATCTATTCTGTGAAACATACGCTACATCCAAGATGTACCATCATGGCAGGTATATTATCGACTCAAATATAGAGCTCCGGCCTTCCTAGCCAAACATTAACACAAAACCATGCACGCAAACTGCAATTAATTCTTCCTAAACTATATACTCATTAATGACTATAATGGCATTAATTAGATGATTATATACCTAAAATATTCATCAATACACACTCTCTAATTTACCATGGACTAGACCACTAGACCCAAATCCTTTTCCTAGACAGGACTTCCTCTGCACCATAGAGGCTTTTGATCATGCATCACGACATACCTGTGCTTTGGCATACTCATTAACAACGGCTATAATCTTCTAACTCTTTGTCTACTCATAGACTCCAAAAAATGGCCAAGACCCTAAGACAAAATGTAAAGATTTGATAAGTGCTATGTACGTTGAATGTCTTTTACTCATCAGGGTTAACAATCTTAATTACTTCTCTTTTCTTTTCTTTTTTTCCTTTACTTTTTAGTTTATGTATTCTCATATTTACATTTAATGTTATGAAAGTTAAAATTAAGACGGATCTAATAAAATCACACGTAACACAAGAAGTATACGCTTGTGTTTATCTTTATAGCTATATACCAATGTTTCAACACTTGGGATCATAAATCTACAGTTTTTACTTTTACAAATTTTTACTTAATTGAAATAAGAAATTACTACCGAAATTGGAAAACAAACAGAAATGGTGACACCATCAATATTAGAAATTTTGTAAAATTTCCATTAAAGATTTAAAGGGATTTTGACACCAAGCTTGCATTTCAAATTTTGTGATGCGTCTTCTCAGTATTTTTTTATCTAGAAATCAGCTGAGAATGCCGACTTTAAGATGTTGTCTCAAGTTTCCAACATTAATGTTCATCCAAAAAGTTGTATTTGACAGACAGGACACCGAAATGGATACACACAAAAAAAAACATACTTCTCAGCATTAAATCTGATCAACCCTCAAGTCCCCAACCATATCAACCTAAGCCAATTCCTTCTCACGCTTCTCATGCTGATGTATATATACACATACATTTCTAGCAGCAATTCCTTAAACCAGTTCCAACAGCAAAAATGTGTACACTGACCAGGAAATGGCAGCTATCTCACTTCTCAAGCTAGCTCGTGTTGTTGCGGCCATCTGTATGGTATTGGGAGCCTCCTCATGTGCAACAGAGGCAGCCATATCATGCAGCGGTGTCAGTGACACTCTGTCACCCTGCGTGCCGCACCTGAAGAGCAGTGGCCCTACCCAGGCAACTCCACCAGAAAACTGCTGCGCTGGGGTAAGGTCACTCAAGGCCACAGCCCAACAAACAGGCTAGCATAGGGCCCTCTGTGAGTGTATGAAATCAACTGCAGCTAGCACCAAAGGACTCAACTATGACCTTGCAGCTAAGCTTCCTGCACATTGTGGGGTTAGCATGTCTTACACCTTCAGCCTCAGCACTGACTGCACCAACGTGTATGCTTTTATGTCTCTAAACTCAAAGATTTCTTAAAATTTGTTGCTTGATTAGCTTGTACAAGACATCTAATTTCTTTTGTTTTCTTATGTTAATGCAGAACAGGTTAGACCTTCAAGAAAGATGGAAATAGGTTCACTAATAAAGTTTGCGGATGAGACTCTACCAAAGAGTCTCCTTGTTTCATTGCAGTGAAGTTTATATTTCTCTGTACTGGAGTTGGATGTCATGTTTGTAAAATTTATACCTATCAATAAATTGCAGTTTGATGAAATCTTAATGATAATTTGACAACTTCACACAAATAAACCTTCCAAATCCCTAGCTGATGAAATTGTTTCACTTTATAAAAAAATGTAGTGAGATTTTAGCCTTAAAAAATGGATTTCCTCAACTCTAAAACTACATATCATGTTATCAAGACCAAATAAGCATCCTAGTCCTTTTCAACTAACAAAGAGGCGAAGAGACTTAACAGTGTAAATCCGATATAAAAAATGGCCCCAATTATTCTCCATAAAGACCCCAAATGGTGACACAATTACAAATACACACATGTATATTAGAAAATTTTCTTCAAATTATATACACTACGCTCTGCTACTGCAGCTTATACAGACTAGGCTATGTAAGTATGTAACAGAGTTTTGCCAGACTTTCATGCCTCAAGTTTATTTTACTATAGATAATGTGGGGATAAAGGAATTGCCTATAAGGACTATAACAATCTCCAATTGTTACACTCGTAAGTTGGATCAAACTATGAACTAGTACTTACAGCATGGGACTACAGTCACTATATAATGCAATCATACCAGTACACATAATTACTTATACCAGAGAGCAGAAATCAGATGTTGAATATATGCACGCTTATCCAATGATAAACAATCAGCTGATGCCGCTTCTATGGTGAAGGAAGTGAATTCATCTGCCAAAACACAGTGATAATATAATGAGGGGAAATGGTGCACATTGCTAAGAAGATGACAAAAAACTGACTACACTAACTTTTATCAATTAATAACGCCATAGCAGTTCTAAATATCAATGCACATCTTATCTTGTTCCCATAAATATTTTTTTATGCTTAATCGCACTATAATATAACCAAGTCAATCAACCTAAACCTTCTGCTGTATTCATATATGCAAGGAGAAGGAAAATAAGGAAATTACTTCTGATAAATGGAGAAGATTTAAGGAGTTTGTCGTGCGAGGGGAGGAGATTTCATAATTTGTTATGCTTTTTACTAGAAGAATCTTTAGTAGCACTATTAGAAGTGGTTTAGTGGTTTAGTCTGTGTAACAAGGTATTCAGAAAGATAGAGAGGAAATACTCTGGGAGAGACTTTTAGTGAGTATAATTTGGGAGAGACTTCCTACCTCTGAGAGACTTCCTACGTCTTGGAGTAGGGAATTGTGTTGATTGGATTATCCTGATTTGATCAATTCTACAATCAGTTGCCTTAATTGTGTGCTTTTTATTTGATTTAGTGCCTAATCTATCCGTTTCACAGCATAATGAACTACTATTAACTAATTGATGAAGATTAGCTGGTTATGGCATCAAAAAAAAAAAAAAAAGCCTGGGACTCAACATTAGACACACAAGGATAGGGAGTCTGATAAGTGCATGACTTCATGATCTTACCGAAAACAAACAGCTTCCGAAGCATCCTAAACTCCATCAAAGTATTCATCAATAAGCCTTTCTATATTATCAGCAAGTGTAGGAGGAGCCCTCAAGCGTTGGATATCTTCTTTCAGCTCAGCATTTTCCTTTCTTAGGTTTTCTACTATCTTCCTCATAACAGCATTTTCTCTCTTGAGTTTAATAACATCATCGTTTGCTTCTGATTTCTCATTCTCCAAAACATACTCTTCCTGTACAGTATTATGATTGTCAACTAGAAGTTCGAAAAGTACCACATTAATTTGTTTTAAATTTACTTTTTTAGAAACATATTTCCAATCTCTAACCTACTCCTTCAAAAGATGACAAATAAGATCATAGTACCAATATATATAAATCGACAACTTAACAGTAATCACCTTAACATTATGGGATGTCTCTGCACTCTGGTCCTCTTGCAAACCATACAATGAGGAACATTCCGCATAATCTTCGGTTACCACTGACACGTCCATTGACTGCCTAGAATCCTCTGGTAAGTCTTGATTATCATGCTTGCTTCTTCCCGTACCTTTGTCTGGTTTATCCAATATAGCATGTCGGCTTAAACTCTATTTAGCAGACAAATAAAAGATTAAAATTTAGCAACATAAGTCATTTCAGTAGAGCTAAGAACCTAACATCACAATTGTCCACTAGCTGCCAAAATCAGAATTTCTCTACAATTCTCAAACACATGGAAGTTTGTGCATGCTTAACAACCTTAGGTGGGAGCCCAATAGCCGCAGAAGTTGTGGCTCTTGCTCTAGTTGACAGAACCTCTTCTCTCTCGAATTCTTCTGATGATATTTCTGATATTCCAGAATACTCTGGAATATCAACTCGCTGATCATGCTCAGGTGGGAGCCCAATAGCCGCAGATGCTGTGGCTCTTGTTCTAGTTGATAGAACCTCTTCTCTCTCGAATTCTTCTAATGATATTTCTGATATTCCAGAATTCTCTGGAATATCAGCTTGCTGCTCATGCTTAGGTGGGAGAATAGCCGCAGATGTTGTGGCTCTTGTTCTAGTCTTCATAACCTCTTCTCTCTCGAATTCTTCTGATGATATTTCTGATGTTCCAGAATTCTCTGGAATATCTGCTCGTTGATCATGCTTGCCTCTTGCCACCCCTCCCTCTGGTTTCTCATTAAATACAGCCTTCTGGCTAAAACTCTGCAGAGCAATTGACAAAAGAATCAAATTTCCGTCCAAAGAAATGACTTTAATCCCATACCCTGTCAGTATTGATCAGTAACATGATAGTATGTTTCCTTTACTTGTACACATAAGCAGATAATATGCCAGAAAAATGTGGCTTTGCATGCCAATCAAGTTCCACTCTAAGTTGCAGGCTAGTTTCATTATGTCTAACCTTAGATGGGACCTCTTTTGTCATGGATGTTGTGATGTTTGTACTAGTTGAAAGAATCTTTTCTCCTCCCGCAGCTTCTTCCATTAGTAACTCTCGTATGTAATCATTATTCTTCTCAGTTGCTGTTGGTTGCAGCTTCCATATTACCTGAAGGTACAATGTTAACACCAATATGCCATCGAAGGTAAAATACCAAAATTTTCACATTGCTCAACATATTGATGGTACTAGTTCATGGAAGATTGAAACTTCTAAATAGTAGATATATTACAACTACTAATGGCATAAAGGCAATAGAATTTCCTCACCTGATTCTCTTCAACCTCATTGAACTTGGAAGTGAACCAATGCCTTGGGCTGTTACACCTACTACTTTCCCAATGGCAAGCTCGAGGGAAGTCCACCGAGCAACTTATCAGAATTGGACGCCCAATGTCTATATGTTCGTAGGACCAAATCTGCTTACATCAGAAAGTTGAAAACCAAATCCTATCATTAGAACAGAAAGTATATGTGGTCGATATGTAAAATGCAACTGCAAGTCAAATAATTCATACTTTGAAAAGTCCAGTAGTTTGTAAAGCATATGATAACGTGTATGATTAGAGCTTAAGGGCAATATCACTAAAAGCATATAAATTCAAGCTGGCTATCCAGCATAAAGATGACAAGAACTTACTTGGAGAAGAATAAGGCAACCTTCCATGCTTTTTATTTGTTCCTCTTTCCTTTTAGATAACCAATTGAATAGGTCCTTAACAACAGCCCTACCCCAAGCATACTTGGACACTCCCCCAAGGTCTTGAAGAAAGGAAAGATAGCGCGAGTCTAGTTTAGCATTTGAACTTGGGAATAGAATTGTCCCAAACATAAATAGCAAGAAATTCCTTACAAAATCTTCACTAGCATCATCACCAAGGGATTGTAACCTTCCCTCAATTGCAGACATACTGATCTTTCGATTACTTTTGGTAGCTCCATACTCCTTTTCCATTTCAGATAATGGATCTTCTTCACTCAAACTTACAGGGTTACCAACAGTACGCAACCCCAAGATCAATGCAGCATCCATATCAGTAATGGTAAGCTCCTTATCATGAAGTACAAATGCCCTTTTCTCACAGTCCCAGCGCTCCATCCATTCAACTAAAAGATTTTTTCGTAGGGTATGATGAGGAACTCGAAGCAAGTTTCCAAACCCGACTTTTTCAATAGCAGTTCTCTGATCATGTGTGAGCTCTTCCACTTTCTTTACAAACGAGGACATTGAAAATTTGGTGGTAAAGTTTCCAACCTGCCAACAATAATAAGAAGGATCTTGTTAAAAATATACAAAAAAAAATTCAACACATCCAATCTCTAGTTCTCAATCTATCTCAGTACTTAAAACTACACATTTCCTCTTATAATATAACTAAGACTAGTTTAACATAGCCGTACACTCAAATTATTTGTTCCAACCTTCTAGGAGTTCTTCCTATTTTTTTAACAAAACCCACAAATCCTTAAGAATAAAACCTTTTTATTTTTTTCTTTGACATGCATCCTTTGACCTACAAACCATTGAACTGACTCAGCCTTTTCACATAACCCGATTTTCATCCTACACCCAGGTGTAATTTTAAGTCTAAACATCATTCACATACTCATATCCCATTTAAAATTAAGTAAAAGGCAACAAATCCCTTTGTTTTTTTTTAACAATTTCCCCTTTCAATAACCTTTCTTAGTACCTAATAACTTTATTTTTTAACAAAAAGAAAAAACTTTTTTGAATTTTACTCATTCTGAGTTTATCACATTGTTACATGAACTACTACATTTCAGCAAATTAATTTTTTTCTAAAAAAAAAAAAAATAAGCAACATTCAAGACAAACTACTACTCGGTGAAAGTTCATAGGCCGCTTCCGGGGAGAAACTCAAAACCCGTGTTCAAATCCCGTCTACATCATTACCCTTTATCCGAATTCAAAGTTCAGAAACCAATTTCTAAACAGGACACCATGAAATTAAAACCCGAAGCAACAAACAAATCAGTAAATCACATTACTGAATTACAATGCAAGATTAAATTAATGCTTCAAAAAAAAATGCAAGATTAAATTAACAACATATTCTGCATTATAAAATGGAAGAACTGGTGTACCGGATTACGGGTTTCTTCGGATTGAGGAAGAATGGAGGAAGATCTTCTGGTACTTATTCTGTTAGAGTCGAAATCGAGAGAACTGTGAATAGAAACCGCCATTGTTGACCTCCTTGTGCTGCGTCTCATGATTGCGAAGATATATTGTAAAGAAAAATGGAGGAGAGAGAAAATTTGTGAAGATGAAAGAGGAGAGAGAATGAAGAAAGGGAAGAGGATGAAGAAGAGTTAAGCTTGCGAGGGAAGCTTTGAGTGTCTGTGTGAGTGAAGGTAAAGAGGCGTCAAACGTTTTTTAAAAAATAAATAAATAAATTATTGGGGAAATTAAATAAATAAATGGGTAAAGCGGGAAATGGATAATATACTTCGGATTACGGTTTTGAATTTACTGTCTTAAATGAGTGTTTATCATTATCTTAACTTTTTTTTTTTTCTTTTTCTTTTAATACATTTATCTAAGACCACTATCAGCAGTGAGGAAAAAAAAAAAACCTCTCAATCTCTCTCTACCCACTTTCTCACTCCTCCCATACAATTTCTCTCATCAAATGTTTTTTTCACTACATCAATGAGGAGAAAAAAAAACCTCTCATCACTTTTTCCTCCACTATTTACTATACCCCACCATAATACACATCATCTTTTTATTTTATCGTTATTTTGAAATAATGTTTATACTACATATTTAATTTTCCAATACAATTAAAATATGTGAAAATAATTTATTTTTTAATTACGTTTAAAAATAATTTAATAAAAATGTATAATTTAATAACAATTTATAAGTTTTTTTTACGAATAATAATAATAATAAAAATGATGAAAATAACTCAAAGAAATTGGGAAAAGAAGGAAATTTGTAGTATTTATGGGTTTTTTGAAAGTATATCAAAATATATCAAAATGCATGTCTATTTATAGAGAAAAAAAAATCTATCCGTTGGTGAATTTTGTTTTTTTTTTTTTTATAATTACAACGGTTATATTTACCTTACAAAAATATAAACGTTGTAATAAAAGCAAAAAAATCTGATTGGTTGGAAGGACAAAGCCTGACGCGTGTCGCATCCCCATTGGCTGGGTCTGACGCGCGTCAGGCCAGCTGCCCCCTTATTTTTTTTCCCTTTTTGCCCCTCAAAACGGCGTCGTTTCGCCCTTCTTTAAGGCAAAACGACGTCGTTTTGCAAGCCAGAAAGGAAAAAAAAAGGAAAGCAGCGTGTACATGTGGGGCCCACCGGTTACTGTTCACGAGTATTTCCCCTCAACTCTTGTGTGTTTTCCATAGCTCTCAACGGTGAGGGTTTTTTCCCTCACTAACGTAATGCTCGGGTATTTTTTTTACACCTTTATTTTTACTCGTGAGGGCTTTTTTCCTCACTGCCGGGAGTGCTCTAAAGTCCTTAATTTTGATTAAACATAGCCACGTGGGTATTTGTTACTGTAATGTTGATATATAGTTTTTAAAATTTAAATTTTTATAATTTTCAATTAAAGATTTCATAAGTCAAAGTTTCGCACTAATAAATATGTTGATCTAAGAGCATCTACATTCATTTACCTCCCCTTCACTTCTCTCTCCTCACCTCATTAGTCTTAATTACTTCCCACTAACTTTATCATATATCTTTCTCTTCTATAACGTTATTTATTAACCTCCCCAATTAGCTTCTATCTCTTACTTATCCATACCTCACCACCTTTTCTCCCTCTTACTTCTGTCAAGGGCTCACTCCTTGCTTTTGCTGACTTGTTTTCGAATTAGTGCAGAACTTGGCCGAAAATATTAGAGGGATCGGGATTTAAATATTTAAACTCTTGCTCAAAACTAATCACTATACCCCAAATATTTTATAAGGATCTTGCTAACGAACGCTCACCGAGGCATTAGATAACCTTTTAATATAGTTTTTAAAATGGTGTTAATTTGGGAATGCATGTCAAAATCACGCGTCAATCGGTGTAATTAATGCTTATTTCAAATGAATCTTACTACTTTTAGGTAACTTATCCAATGTTCCGGGGGCATTCGTTAGCTTTTGCCTATAAGTAATTAATTAGTACTCCCTCCATCCCCGAAACTTCGACCCTTATGGCCTAATTTTAGTCCCAAAATGTTCATCCCATTTGCATTTTAATACCCTTTAATTTGCAATAATATTTGTGCAAAATTAGCTTCCCCATGCAAATTTTGCTTTTTCTATATACTTTTATTACTTTTTCTCTCTACTTTTTTTGCAATTCCAATGTAAATTTCCCTTTTCAATGTACTTTTCTTAGTTTCCCCATACACTCTTACACTTCCAATTTAACTTCTTAATACCCGCGAAATCAAGCCAAAAGGGTCGAAGTTTCGGGGGCGGAGGGAGTATTTTAGTTTATAAACTAATTAATTACAATAATTTACGAGGAGTTGGGCCCCAAATGACCCCGGTAGAAGTTCCCGTCTGTTTGGGATGGTTTCTTATTTATTTACCTCCTCAACTAAATTAAACTAAATTAATTATATGAGAAGGCAAAAATATTGGTGGGAAGGTTCCCTTTTTTCTCAAATGAGGAACCATAATTCCCACCAATGTGGATGCTCTAACTTGTTAAGATTAAGCTCAAAGTATGTACTCCCTCCATCACTTTAATCTTTACACTTGGATCACAAATTAATTCCAAATGTAAAGATTAAAAAAGTGACAAAGGGGGTGTTATTATTTGAGAACTGTCAAAGTAAATGTCAATGAAAACAAGGAACAATATATTTTTTTTCTTTAAATTAAAATCTCGGTAAAACAAATATGCTGATAAAGAAGAATTCTACATTCACAATTTAAACAATTTCTATAAACAGAATTTTACGTATTGGTTTTCAAGCATCCCCTCTACAACAAAAGCAATCGTAAATTCGTAATCAGCTACATGTATATATACTCGTATATGCAACAACATCCCTCTAACGACTCAATCGTGTGGATCAGTCACCCATATTCATTGTCCTAAAAAAAATTGAAAAAATTGAAAGAAAAACATTACAAAACCCCTCCCTTTACAGAAAAATGTGAAAATAATAAGACATAATATCAAATGATGGACACAGACACAAGGCATTTACATATGTACACCGTCATTGCCTATATAGCAAGCTTATTAACTAGCCAAAGCCTCCCTGGAATTAATGGACTCTATTCCATCCGGCTTGAAATTTACATGGGGGCTAATGAATGTGCAGCAGAAAAACCGAACTCCAAAAGCCAACCTCCACAGCTCCATTATACTCGGTATGAGATCATAGTGGCATGACTAATGCATCACCACTACCAGCATCTTCAACATAGATTTCAATCAAGTCCCCATGTTTTGTCTTGTACACATGTTCATCTTGTGGGATTATTGTCAGCGGCATATAAGGAAACAAAAGGATTGGCAGCTCCAGCAGCAAGTAGCACTTGATAGGGATGGAAAGTAAGACAGCTTATAGATCCACTCCTCTGAGCCATGAATGTTGGATGACATCGAATGGTGCCTAGTTGCTCACCTTCTAAACTGAAGATTTTAATAAGCTGCTTTGCAGAAGCACTGGCTATAATTGGAGCATGCCGATGAACAGCTAAGGCTGTGAGTGTGCCCCTGTGGGCATTAATTGTGAGGTATGCATCGCTGTGATTTCTAATATCTAAGAACTGAATATCACCAGCCTGAGATGCACTGACAATCTGGAAAGAAGAAGAGTGAAAAACACATGGTTAGGCAGCACTGTTTAATCTAATTTACAGAGTTTTTTCCCCAAAATAAACTCGGATTTACAACAGTATATATTACTACCCCCGTTCCATATTGTGCTTTACACTTCTACTTAATACCTTTTTCCGCAATAATTTTTTAAAAATTAATCCTTCCTTACCCTACTTAATCATCACTTGCCATTAATTGGCCAAATTTTTATGTTTTGTCACATGTTTCCCACTTCGTTAATCTCTCTTCTTAGTTCTTACCTTTACATGCAAATAGCAACTATTAGGAATAGAAGTAGTACTAATTTTCACATTTATCTAATTTATTTATTCTATTTGCAGCTACATAAACAATTATTTGGCAAGTACTCACCTTGCCCACATCTAGCCCTGGTTGAAAGTCGATTCCCACAACTCTTTCAATTCTCTGGATATGCGGGCGGGCAGCACAAACAAGCCTAGAAAGGAGAAAAACAACAATTAGAAAAAAGTCGAAGAAGGTTACATATATCCCTAGACATTAGCCATGAAAAGAGGTTTGGGAGAAGAGAGACTTAATCTCACCAAACATATGTAGAGTAAAGAATATCAAGAGCAGCAGAAAATAAATGTTTAGTATTCTCATGCTTGAAATTTGTATCTAGCTTCTAATATTACATTTCATTTAATCATCTATTGGATTTGATCATTAATATTTGTCATTGTCAATCATAGATATGAGTGTAGTATGCAAGGAAAAGCTTTAAAATTAGTGAAATAATCGATATAGAGATAAGATTCAACCAGTCCCTACCATGGCTCTAGTGAATATCTAAACCTTGATGTACTCGTTTTTTCCACTATAAAACCCCTTCAGTCATTCATACGTCTTTTTTTAGTTCTTAACACATGTAGTAAAAAATATAGTATTCCTCAAAAAAATAATATAGTAACACATAATACAGTTATCCAAACTAAATTTCAAGGGCCAATCTTCAAGACTGCAATCAGTATTATTTAAGTCTTCCACAAAGTAGCAACACTATTGACATGTCAGATGCACTAATCAAGTCAATTGAAACTCCAGAAAAGCACAAGTATGACAAGGCAAGCTAGCAATATGTATAGCTTCGACAACATACAATGCAATTCATAAGAAATAAAAGACAAGAGAAGACCCCTATTAGCTCACATTTCAGGTGTTCTAATGTCAAAGATTCTGACTGAGCCATCAGCGAACCCAGCAGCAAATTGACCTCCATGAACTTGAGAAGCAGCCTGCAAACCCATTTTACAGTGTTAACCAGACAATAGAATCTGATCAAACAAAGAACAAAAGGACAGCAGCAAATCATAAAGAGTATGGTAGGCTAATCACAAAGAAGAAACAGCTATGCATTTGTGATTAAACAAAGAACAGATATTTAGCCTTTGGGAAATTATTTCACATGTGTTTTACTTAAATCTCCCCTTTAATGAGGTTCAAGATAATAGTTCTCGCATTTGTTTTTGGGAAGAGGTTTGGAGAGGAGAGCAACCATTCTATATGTTTTGTCTCAGGTACTCTTTGGAGAGGAGATTTAAGTTAAAAACAGCAGGTCCAGTAGTTACAACAGTAGGTCCATCTATTAAATTGATAATTAGTCTAAACTCTTAGATATTTCCAAGAACTTTATAGAATGCTAATGCAGGTTTTTTTTTTTGTGTTTTTTTTTTCCCTTTTTTCTTTTATTGTAAAATTCTCTGAAGTGCCTAGTGGCCACTCTATATGTTTGGCCACAGGTACTCTTATGGGATCGGTCAATGGGAAGTGCCAAAGTGCTAGTGAGTCATATATTCACATGTTTTCCTTCACTATGAAATGGCAAGTCACCTTTGGAGAATATATATATACTTTGTATCAAGAATTCTGGGTTTGCCCTTTAATGGAGGTGAATTGGCTACAAATTCATTCTCAGGGTTTGTTAAGGACAAGGAGAACACAGTGCATTTTTATGGCAGCTTTGTGCTGTGTTTGGTTGGATCGAAATTCCCAGGAGCTTCTTTATCTTCTGATTTGGTCGGGGACAAAGTAACTTATCTAGCATATTATGGGCTAAGGCTGCAGGGACATAAAAGAGCTAATTGATTGGAGAAATTATGATAAACTGGCATAATCTGTAATTTAAAATTTTGATTCAAGGACAGACTTCTCTCTTACTCATTTTTTCAGCAAATAATACTCCCCTGTTAATTTTAATGGTTACAATTCCAATTGGATGATCCAAAAATGGTTACACTTTACCTTTTTTTACATATCCTTACTCTTTCGGGTCGACAAGGTTTACTTTTTCACCATTGCTTCTCATTCCAAATCCCAATTTTTCCATAACTCTCTCGCAGTTCCAATATTTTTCTTGGTTTAAAAAGTGAACTAGTGAAGTGTAACCATAAAAGTGTGTATTTTTCTCATCAAAAAAAAAAAAAAAAAAAAAAAAAAAAAAAGACAGAGTAAGATAAGAATTGAATGAATAAACGAAACACTAAAGATTAGATCCTAATATCAATACAAATGCAACAGGCAACTAAAGTTTTTTGCAGGAGTAGGGATTAGAAGAGATACCAGTGCTGATATACTGTTATCAGGGGATGAAGGAATGGAATGCAAAAGTTGTTCTTTGTCAAGATCCCAGACCTTAATTGAAGGTACATCCCCAGCCACAAACTAAAGAAAAGTAGATGGAAATATTTTAGAGTTTAGACTAATTATCAACTTGTATAAAGTTCAAATGGCTTACTTAACAAGTGCTTACTAGGTATCCAGATTGTTGTTGCCAATCCACATTAGCATTCAAATTACAAACAGTAGGTCCATGAACAGGCAGAGAAGAGAAGGCAGTCACAAGCTTCTGTTTCCCCATTTCCATGTAGTCTTTCCATATTCGAACATTTCCATCACCTTCATGAGGAAGATATGAGTTAAAATCACCCTTGGTGCTAATAATTTTGGTGTGAATTTATTGCTTAATGTGTGAGTATTTTCAGACTCAGTGAAAAGTAAAGAAACATAGACGAGGAAAATTTACCAGAAGCAACAAGAAGCAAGCTATCAAGTTCATTCAAAAGGCAGAGCTTAGAAATTCCAGAGTCAGGAAATTCATGATTGTCAAAAGTATTCAAAAGGGCTGGTTCCTCGTAGTTCCAAACCCTGACAGAAACAAATAGTGAAAAGACACATGTAGGTGAGCAAATAAAACGAGCACTTCGTAAAAGATCAGCTGCCTTCAATCAGCTGATAGGATAATAATAGGTACCACATGCCAAAAAAAATAAATATAAATAATGCAAAAAGATAATTATGTTTCAATATTCAAATCAAGGTTACCTAATTTGCTAATATGAGATCCAGTACAAGTTTGTATTCCACTACTTAATTTGTTAAATTGAGCCAAAAGTTACCAATTCGCTAGTATAAATTGCCTTTGTCAGCTCACGGTAAGCAGGTGTGTGGCGAAAAAAGCCAATTGGTAACACAGGTTCAAAGTTTTTTCATCAACTTTAAATGCAAAGCCTCTCAATCTTTGCCCAATATGTCTAAAAGCCCACTTGCACAATATGTGCAGACGACCAAACCAATTGCAATAACTATAGCCCAAAAGATACAAACTAAGACACAAACCAATAGCAGAAAAGAAAATTGCCATGAACAAGCTTAAAAAATAAGCCGGCTGCTGAAAGCATAGTGTCCAGAGGTGTATTATGGTGTATTTGACATTTAAATACCAGACGTAAGCAAAACAGGCAGCATTTACAAGACAGTTCAGCTAAGTTTCCCACTTTATGCTCTAAAAACCCTCCAAATATTATAGACTATTGAATACCAACACATCAATCATCAAAAATTGAGCACAAACCCAAAAAACAATCACCTAAGAAATACTCGCTCTATTTCAAATAAGTTCATTACTTTGACTGACACACATGCCAATGCAAAATTTTGACCATTAACATCTTTAATTGCATATTACCAAAGATTATACTCCCTCCATTCCGTAATTATCGCAACACTAGGCATTGCACAAAGTTTTATAAAAATTTAAGGGTGGGGGCCAAAGGGGGAGATATAAAGTATAGTTAGTGCAGATATATTTAATTGCTAGTAGAAGAGAGAAATAATATTTAAAAAAAAAAAAGTAGTGCAAGTGGGGTTGGTAGAAGAGAGAAATAATACGAATTAAAATATTTGTAAAAGTAGGGTGAGTAGTAGAGAGATAATAAAAGTAGTTAGTCTTTACCAATATTGCAATTATTAAAAAATAAATGCAAAGGGAAAGTATTGCGATTATTACGAAATGGAGGGAGTAAAAAGACTTGATATTATGAAAATATGCATTGTGACTAATCTAATAACACTTTGCAAAATAACAATTACATCATATATATGGTCAAAGTTAGTGTAAGAGTAGTGCAAAAGGCAAAGTGATACACTCAATCTGAAATAGAGGAGGTACATTTTGCAAAAAAAAACTTTCAGAAAGCAATTGTTCCATTCGTATACGCCCTCCGTTTTTTTTTAAGTCTTGCACTTTGACCAACATAGAGTTTTAAGGTAACTTAATTGATAATAATATATTACTTTCTCCGTTCTAGTAATATTGCAACAACTGGAATTTTACACTATATATCACGCTTGTTTGACCACATATTATGATTTATACGTAAAGTAAAATATAGTCATGTCGGGTCTTGTTAGATTCGTCTCGTAAAATACTTTCACAATATCAACTTTTTATAATTTTTACTCTTATATAATTAAAGATATTTAGCATATAAAATGTGTTTTGGGATTCGTAATTTCATCCTTGTTGCAATATTTGTGAAACAGAGGAAGTAAGATGTAAGTGGGGTTGAGGTATTAAAAAATTATAAGAAAAGATAGTGGAGTTAAAAGTTTATTGAAAAGAAGGGATGTAAGAGGGAAAAAAAAACAGTTGTAGCGGGTTAGAATTGAGATCATGAGAGGAAAGAGATAAAATTAAAAATTTAGAGTGTAATAGTTTTTCAAAAATGGAAATGGAAGTTTAACACTTAAAATTATGGCCGCTATTAATAAGTGTAACACTTAAAAAAACGGAGGGAGTATGAAATGTCACTTGTACACTTAAATTGAGAGCATCACATGTATACATTACGTGCATACAGAACTGTGTCACACAGAGATGGGCAGCAAGGGCACTTAGTGCACAAAAATAGCACAATAACATTAACCCTGCGATATTGGCAACTATTTTGTCCATATCTTCCAGAAATAACCGGTATTAAACTTTCCTACAGCCAGAACTCCAGAAGTGCATTTAATGATTTACAATAAGAAGCAAACCACAACAACCCCCCTCACAGAAACCTCTACACTATTAAATATCAATATGAGGAAACTAATCACAAATTACCACTTGTTCTGCTGAGCTTTTGAAAGAGAAACACATTCAGAAGTCTCAGCAATGGAATAAACATCAGATATTTCACTACTTTACATTCTATGTACCCAGAACCTAACAAAAAATAGACTTTGAAATAGCATATATTTAAATGCAAAAACCTACAAATTATAACCTTCTAGATGTTAACCGTAAGCATTTTAATAATAAACATAAATAAATACTCCTTCCGTCCTTTTATAAGAAGCCTATATTCCTTTTTGGGATAACCAAAATTACAAGCCTATTTCTATTTATAGATTGTATTTTATGACAATATGTCCCTCTTTTTGATGATTTGTCATTCTTTTTCTTTTTTGTACTATTGACATCAATTCCCAACACTTTCTATCTCTATCTCTTCAATAATTCCCAACCACTTTTTCCTTCTCTCTCTCTCTCTCTCTCTAACCCCACATGCATATTTGTACTTCCTTAATTCCCATGAAAAAACCCAAATAGGCTTCTAATAAAAGGACGGAGGGTGTACTAAATTCTCAAGATTCAACTAAGGCATTGGAAAGTAAATAAATTAACAAACATTATCATACCTAATCTGTTCCTTCTCATCCGCTGCAATCACAACAGGAGAGAAAGGTTGTAATAAGGTGGTTTTTGTACCATTTTCAAACTTGGTATCCCAGCTTGCAATCTGATTATATAGCTTGCTAACTGCTGCAAACCAAATTTTTTAAATATAGGATCAGCATGTCAATCAATGACAATCAGAAGAAGTTCAGATCACAATCAACACAAAACAAAGCCAACTTACAATAATTCTGGCATTTCACTATGAGGTCCAAGGTTGATCTTTCCTTTGCTTCCCTCTTAGCTAACAATTCTTCAGCATCATCTGGTGGCGTAAGAAGAGGTTTTGAGAAGTGCCCACAGCTCCAATTATATATGTTTGACCGTGGAAGAAGACTGCACTCAGTATTAGCATCAGACCCACCATAACCTAATGGATCTGCCAACCCTAAATCTGGAGAGTTGAGCAAGTGTGGTCGAAACTCCGAGGAAGAAACTCTTCTTATTCTTGTCAAGCAACTCGCTCTAGGAATGCTAATAGGTGGAGTTCTGAAAGTTAATGGAAAATGACCTGTAAAGCCACCACAAAGTCAGCTCAATATAAAAAATCTTAGCAAAATACCAACTACATCTGAATACAGAAATTGTCCAAAGAAGACACTGCACTGCAGCTTCAGAGTACACAGCCAATGATACAATCAATCAACAGCACCAAATATTGTCGCTAACACATTATGAAAATTAATCAGGGTGTACGTTTGTTAGCACAACAGAAAATATCCAAGGAAGAAACTGCACTGTAGCTTCAGAGTAAACAGCCAATGATACAATCGATCAACAGCAACAAATATTGTCGATTACATTATTAAAATTAATCAGGGTGTATGTTTTTCAGCTTATAAGATGATTCATACCAGATCTCAATCAACATACCAGAATTCATATCAAACCATGATGATGATCGAGCTAGTCCAGAAAGCCGCACAGCAGCAGAAGTGATAGGCTCACTTGGCCGAGCATTGCTAGTGGAGGGCATGTTGGGTCTTGCAACCTGTTCAATGCCAATGATAGAGAGAACTCTCCGCCCAAGTCTTGCAATGCGAGGAGATGGGTCCTTTGCTAATGTACACATGGATAATATGCAATCCAAATAAACACTAGTATCAAGAGGTCTAGGTCTAACATGGTTCATTATTCCATTGCCGACACCATCATTTGATGCACCAGAATCAGAATATTGAGATGAATCATCTAAAAGAGGAGACCCGTGCATTATTCCAGTAGTAGCCAGTGGATTACTTGTGGAGACTCTCCCATCTCGAACAATTAGAGTACTGTCACCCCCAATCCTCAACATACCAATTTGAGAAGTAATGATACTTCCCGGAGTACTGACCCCAGTGTTTGGCTGTGATTTCCCATACATTGCAGCAACAGATTTGAGATGCTTGTTATGGCCAAAAGCAAACCGAGCTAGAGCTGATCAAATAGCACAGGGAAACAGTTAAAGGCAATATAAAAGTTGAAAAGGAACAAGATATTCATATTATGAGGGTGCACATGTGGCAAGGTAGACACAGCTTTCAGCAACATGAAAATTCCTGATATATCAAAATATGTTTCCTCGATTATTAGCGTAACAGACTAGTTTCAATAACGATAGTCTAATATAAAATGTCATAGAACATAGTCTTCCTACAGACCTACACCACATCTAGCTAATGAATTTTCACCTCATATATCAATAAATATCAATAAATTCAGAAGGTGTAACACGTTCACAATCCAAAAAGATGTAGAAAGTTTGATTCAGTGGTGTTAACATTAAAATAAAAACATTTGTTTTCACCTCTTTTATGTGCAGTGCATAAATGAACACCCAAACTCCATGGATCATACCAATAACTCCACCAATATAAAGGGAAATTCGAAATAGGGACCAAAAACATTTGCAAATTACACGTGGTAGCACTCTGATGAGGACTGATGCTGGTCAGTACTCAATGTGGCCTTAATGAACCATTAAACATCGGGTTGACAATAGATAATGTTGATTTGGGGTTTACTATATTAACCATGGATGCAAAATAAATATATGACGAAATAGCCCATGGTTAATTGTTCCATACAACATTGAAAGATCTTCCCTCCAACTATAGCTCAAAAAAACAATTCATCCTATCCTCTTTTTATTTTATTTTATTTATTTATTTTGCGGAGGAGCCATGGAAGGGCCGTGGGTCAAACTTAATGTTTGTTAGTACCACTCTTACCCTAAAAATTATACATTTTCCGATACAAGAAGCAACCTTAGAAGGGCATATTATAAGTGCAACATTTGCTGGTTGTTCGTGTGGTTAATGATGCTGAATACATTATTGTTGGTGTGAGAAAAAACTAAATTTTGATGATGATTATTTAAAAAAAAACGATGAACAATCACTGAAAGAGAAAAGGAATGGGTAGTGATTAATCATGGAAGAGTGAAAATTTTTAGGGGCTGTTAGTAAAGCTTCCACCAATCCAAATAGTTAAATACTTAAATTAATTTTTTTTAAAAAAATTGCCACATCAGAGAATAAATAGCAATAGATGCAAGTCTTGCAACCATTGAGATTTCCAAAACTTTTTAGTTACTAAATATTGTACAAAATTTAGGGTCACAATTGAAGCTGACATAAGTTAACCTGATACAACTACATGATAGAAACCAGACACAATGGCGTTGAAATTTTGAACAAGGAAACCGACTCACTCCAACCAAATATATAGAAATTTTTGATATATTAGCACAGTATAAAGGCATGAGCATGCATAATTTGGATGGAATCTTCGAATACTAAATATGTAGTTACAAATTAAGGGATAGCTTTTATATAGTGATATAACAAATCAGGCATACAAGTTAAGGGATAGCTTTTATATAGTGATATAACAAATCAGGCATAATAAATTAATTTATAGTTAATAAATTATTGAGATTTTAACTTAAACATTCAAGAATCAACACAATTAGTCAAAATGGGTTAGGTTAATGTCCAGGGTTTTCAGCACATTTATAATGCTAATTTGACACGACACAACCCGTTTGACACCCGTAATCATCATTCAGAATTTTCCATATTTTATATTGCCCCTGTTCTTTTGATTGCACAATTTGGACTTTTATACGATTCACCCCCCCCCCTCCCCCACAAAATTTGTGAATTATACGTAAAAAGATTATATGCCATTAGTTTTTTTTTTTTTTTTTTTTGGAATATATACTTTCACAGTATCAAATTCTTTATAATTTTCCAAATAGGTGATAAGGATATAAATGTTATAACTCCAAGTTGTGCAGTTAAAAAATGAACAGAGGAAGTGTACCACATACCTACTGCAACCTCAGCCCTGACAAGAGGACTTCCATCTGAAACAACACTTAAAAGGTTTCTGATAATAGTAATTTCAGCTTTTAGCTTTTCATCATCATCACACTCATCCCCTCCATATCTAGAAGAGTCAAATCCAACACCAAGAAAAGTTCCCAATACAAATACAGCAGAGGCTCTAACCTGAAAAGTAGGCATTGTTTGCTTTCATACATGGGAGAAGATAATATTTTATTTTTTTATAACAAAACACATTTATTGCTATGAAGTACGATAGGCAAACCTCAGATTGGGGCTTAGACAGTAGAGACGCTGATATCACAGCAGCACCTGCCTGTAAACCTAGTAACTGAGCCTCTGTAAAGCCCTCCCACATCTTTCCCAGACAGAGACAAAGCCACTGAAGAAATAAATGTTCAGACTGAGCATTGTTCGGAGTTGAATCTTGAAAGTGCTTAAGGCACACATCAAGTAAACCAGCTTCAATACAAGCCTCTTGTCCCTCTTTATGCCCATCAACAATGACGGCTAAAACAAATGCAGCCATAGCACGCTGCTCAGGAAAGGCTTTCAAGCTGTCAAGAAATCTAATAAAATATGTATGACCTCCAACTTTCACTAGATCAACCTGACATGACTGACATTCAAGCAAAAGAATATCTTTAGAAAGAATCCAATATGAATGGATAACTTCATACAGCATCTTCAAATGTGTGAAGACAAAAGCAAATTGACAGCGGACTACTGGAATAGTAGATTATTAGACACTATGTTTCGTATTTACCTTATCATGAGCAAGAATTTTACTCCAAATGAAAACAAGAGTTTGTTGTAGTTCAGGCGCTGCAGTTGGCAACAGCTTAAGAAGAGTTGGCAAGTTACCAACAGACAATGCCTACAGGAAGCAAAAACTCCTTATTGCCAAACTTGCTGTGAGCATAAGCCATAAGAGGAGCAACAGGTCCCAAAAATAAATAAGTAAAAGGAGATTCAAAAGCAAATGTGCTAGTCTCGAATAACTACCAAGTCAACAGCCCAGGGACCCATATCAAGGAATCTCGCAAGAAGCTCCAGCGCCCGGAAACGATGACATTGACTAAATAGGGCCTACATTAAACAATGAGATTAGTCACTATTGTCAAACCAAATGCGATGGTCAAAGTATAAATAAGGTTAGGACCAAAAAGGTACAGTAGTTTTAACTTGAAAGAAATGAGAACATATCTAAATAATAGACTCCACTCTCCACCTCTAGCACATCTAAGAAACCTCTTCATTTTTTTTATGGCCATAATCCGAGCAAAAATATCTAGTAAACTGTGACAGGGGGGAGGGACTTATGGAGAATTGCAAGAAAGCCACGACCGAACGCAGATATTGCAATCAAGATACAGGCTTGGCAATCAACTCTATCCATATTGTCTTTATCTAATGAAAAAAAAATATGATCTCATGGTCAAAAAGTGATTAGCCTCGTTGAACTCATTAGTACATCAATTAAGAAGACCAATATATTCACCCACTCAAACATCCATAGTTGGCCTTGAACCAACCCCAAGCCTACATCATAAGAATAATGCATAAGCTGGCTACCACTTAAATCCAAACAAATTCTTGCTTTTACTTGTCAGTTGGACCCCAACACTGCTTTTGAAAAAACAATTATGGTTTTGTAGCAGATAGCTGCACTAAATTCCTGACAATGCAGTCAAAGCTTATCCAAAAGTGTAAAAACAATAGTCCTTACTGCAGTAAATAGAGCACCAAGAGCAGAGACATTAGGTTGTATCTTCAATTTATAGACATGTTAATTTAAACCTAAAATCTCTTTTCATAAAGTCAAAAGAGGGCTTTCACTCAGAAGGTCGTTCAGTTCTGTCCCTTCACTTGCATTGTAAACCTCGGAGTACTAAGTCAAAACTGAAAACACCTCAATAACATCATATCCCACATGTTAGGGTTGCAAGCCCAACAAGAGGAATAAGTTTCGTTGGTACATGTGGATGTTTGGTAAGTTGAGTTTAAGGGAAGGTTTGTTAGGAAATAAACTAAACTTACCAAATACCAACGAGATTTGTTTTGGGAAAAGATATATTGTATCTTTTATTTATTTCTATCTTTTACGCTTTCCGAGTTTGATGAGGGTTGTAATTAGGAAACTAGATAGATTTTAGGTATGCATAATCAATGTAGGATTATTTAGGCTTGGGGAGCAAGTAAAATATCCTAATTGATGTGGGTTTCTTAGTTAGCCTGTATAAGAGGGGTTAGGCTTACTAGAAAATTAAGATGGATCATCAATGATGGTTTATTGAAGAGGAAAATCATCAAGAGGGTGAAACAATGATGGTTTGTTGAGGAGGAAAATCATCAAGAGGGTTAGTGTCTTATTTTGTAGGAACTTAATAAAACAATATTTTTGTTGAGGTGAGGAAATCTACACTTGTCTCTTTTATTATCGTATTTTGCTATTTATTCTATATTGTGTTTGAGGGTGAGTTCCCAAATCGTTCCACTGCAAACATCTATTATAACAAATTGGTATCAAGACCTAGGTTGGGGCATGGAGGATTTTGGGAACAAATACAAAGTAGAATTATTTAACGGGAAGATGAATTTCTCGTTATGGCAAAGTACAGTGAAGGTATTGGTCGGGACAATGGTTGAAAACACTGTTGGAGGAAATACAAAGTAGAATTATTTAACGGGAAGAAGAATTTCTCGTTATGGAAAAGTACGGTGAAGGTATTGGTCGGGACAATGGTTGAAGACACTATTGGAGGGTTTGTAGCTTTGTCCTTTAAAAAATTACATGTTGGAGGGTTTGTAGTTTTGTCCTTTAAAAAATTACATGTCGGAGGGTTTATAGTTTTGGCCTCAAAAACTAATGATCAGTTGGATGGTTTTCTTGTGATTTTTCCGGCACATAAAATCACTAGTTGGAGTCTCCAAAAAGGAACGCGAGAAATCACTTCATGGATGGAAGAATGTTCGAGTTCAAGGGAGGCGTTCAATCGCGGGTTGATCGAGTTGGAAGCCATGTTGGGCTTGAGGGGAGGTTTGTTAGGGTTGCAAGCCCAATAAGAGGAATAAGTTTCGTTGGTACATGTGGATGTTTGGTAAGTTGAGTTTAAGGCAAGGTTTGTTAGGAAATAAACTAAACTTACCAAATACCAATGAGATTTGTTTTGGGAAAAGATATATTGTATCTTTTATTTATTTCTATCTTTTACGCTTTCCTAGTTTGATGAGGGTTGTAATTAGGAAACTAGATAGATTTTAGGTATGTATAATCAATGTAGGACTTTTTTAGGCTTGGGGAGCAAGTAAAATATCCTAATTAAAGTGGGTTTCTTAGTTAGCCTATATAAGAGGGGTTAGGCTTACTAGAAAATTAAGATGGATCATCAATGATGATTGATTGAGGAGGAAAATCATCAAGAGGGTGAAACAATGATGGTTTGTTGAGGAGGAAAATCATCAAGAGGGTTATTGTCTTATTTTGTAGGAACTTAATAAAACAATATTTTTGTTGAGGGGAGAAAATCTAAATTTCCTCATAAACACTTTTCTCTTTTATTATCGTATTTTGCTATTTATTCTATATTGTGTTTGAGGGTGAGTTCCCAAATCGTTCCACTGCAAACATCTGTTATAACACAACACTTACCCAAAAAAAAAAAAAAAAAAAAAAAAAAAAAAGATGATGCTCGTGAGAGAGAGAGAGAGAGGGTTACATATTTTCTACACCTGAAGAACAATAGCCAACTGCTCCGGTGGCTTCTTTTGCTCAGATCCATGGTCAAGCCATACTTCAACTGCTGTCAACTGCTCGGTGAAGAAAGGGCTAGGCTGAAATAAATAATCACATTATAACTTGTGACAAATTTATTCGAAAACAGATTCCCAGAGTCCTCCAGGATACTAGGGTTATGTAACTAAACATTGTTCATCTCAGCTTAAAGTAAGAGATCCATATTAAATGGACAACAAGCACAAAAGGCACACACCTGGAACTCCACAGTTGGATCATGAATCAGTGATGGAAGTTGAGAAAGACAAATTTCAGCAGCCATGTCCCATGCATCCCTACAGTCAATTTAACAGAAAAACATTAACAAACTTGTTGCGAGGAAGAATAGCTCGAGCATGGGTTGCAATTACGTAACAAATGCCATTGTAATTTTTACAATTTTAACAAACAGAATTGTTTAGAAGGTAAGCAATAAAAGGCCAAGTAGGTACCAGTCTTTACATAAAGACTGCTTTATACAATTTTGTGGATGACTATAAGGAATAATTTCATGTAGCCAACCCCACTTATGGGATTAAGGCTTTGATTGATTGATAGGTACCAGTTTTTATGAAGAGACTACTTTATACAATTTTCCTCCCTCCATCCTTTACATTGCGCCATTTGACTTTACACGGTATTCAAGATACATCTTTGTTTGTTGACACCGACATTTTTATGCGTAAAAATAATAAAAACTTTATATTTTTAAAATATAAGTCGTATAGAAGTCTAACAAGACACCACTTGACTATTAAGTCTATAATATTTCTAATAGATTAGTGATTAGTGATTTTTTTTCCAATTAAAATATGTAATTGATTAGCAAATAAAAAAAAAATAAGGTCAAACAACAGTTAAGACTTTAAAATAGAGATATCTTTACAGACTCAACACACTAAACTATAACAAAAGTCTACTCCTCATCTATTCAGTAGCTCTAACAGAGACTCCAAACACAGTTTCTCTAAGAATCATTACTCTTAGTACCTTAAGCAAAAATAATTCTATTTCTACAACACCAAATTGAATAGATGATTTCTGTGAAAAGCAACAAGTACAAGAGAGTAAAACAAAACTACTAATATCATATTTCATCTTGATAATTCTCATTGCTCACTGTATTTCAGCATCAAAAGCCATTACATTCCTTGAAAATTCTAACAGTAGCAACTAGCAAACACTTCCTCCAAACAGCATGAAAAAATTGACAAATCAAAAACAGATGGTGAAAACTGAAAAGTCTTCCACATCACATCAGCTGCCAATTATTCTACAGTCAATATGCCATTTAGACAATCTATTTTTAGCGGTAAGATGATCTTATATTGTAAAGACAACCACAGCATAAATAAACACTCCAAGGACTAGTTTCGCTACATCAGTTCCTTGCAGACGAATGGTGCTGGAAAAAGCTCAAGTTTATATACTTACCACATATGATGCTGATGAGTTGGCGGCAACATTGGGTATGAAAATGGAGAGCAGTTGGCTGAACGCATTATTCTCTCTGCTAGTAAGAAGTTGCGGAACAGACTGGCAACTAACTGATCTTGTCTGAATAACCTCTGAAAAAGATCTGTCACATGAAAAACATATCCAAGCATCCTAAATTTTTAACCAAAACACAATCACACATCACAAATAAATCCCAAAAAAAAAAAAAAAAAAAAAAAAAAAAAAAAAAAAAAACCGAGCTTTTACCACGTGGGAGAACATTCCATGCAATTGTGTCAGTTACTGCTGTAAATATCCAATTAAGCTCACCAAGAAGTGTTTTACGATCACTTAGATGACCAGGAATATTGTCTATGAGTGAATGATCAAGAGATTCGTGAAGCAAGGATCGTTTGCAGAGCCTGATAAGCAAATTCAAACAAAACAAATGAGTAACTACAGAAATGTGACATGACAAGCAAGAATATAAGATTGTTATTAGGATTGAAGCATGAAAAACTCTATAGGCATTGTTATAATCCCAGTTATTTGAGATACATATAGCACTACATTTAAAAGCATATGAAGTTTACAAGGGAGAAGTTTTTGGACCCCAGATTATCTAGACATAGGTGACCTATTAAATACTATGAAGTTATGTTCTAAACTTCATCCATCCTACTATTTGGCCCTACATAAGCAGTCTTTTCTTCACCAAATTTGATTGACGACATTGACACGGCTTGCTTCTACACAGTTCAGTGCAGCAAGAGTCAAAAGTTTGCCCTATACCCAGCACTGTCCCTTTTCTCACACACATAAGCCCAAGTTTAAAAAAAATAATAAAATTTAAAAAAATAAATAAATAAATAAATAAAAAAAACATAAAAAGCTTCAATTAGCATGAAAAGATATCATGTTCAAGATCACATTCAGGTTTAGGACTCAATTATGTATCTAAGAATCAGACACGGTAAATTCGAAATTCAATTACACATGAACATGTTTAAGAGCCGTCCATAATTTTAAGAATGTGCTTATAAAGAGGACAATCTATATGTAAAAAAAAAAAAAAAAAAAGAAATCTGTTAAAAGTTAATCCATTGCCTTTTACAGTATCAATCTTATTTTAAAGTTTATTCAGAAAATAGTTCTTACAGGATTGACAGCCTACATATTATTTACGCTGTGTTTGGATAGAAAAGAAGGAAGGAAAGGAAGGGGAGGGAAAAAGGAGGAAGGGAAGGGAAAAGAAAGAGAGGGGGAGGTGAGCTCCATTTTCCCTCCAAATCTCTCCAATTTTGGAGAGATTATGCTTATTAAAGAGAGGGAAAATGGATCCCTCCCTCTCCTTCCCCTTCCTTCCCCCAATCCTTTACCCAAACAAGAGAATTTGTCCCCTTCCCTTTCTCTTCTCTTCTTTTCCTTCCATTTCTTTCTATCCAAACAAAGTGTCAGAGAAAGTAAACAATTAAAGATATTCAAGGCAAAGAAAAGCAAAACAGGAAGCAAGAAACACTTAGTAAAAGTTAGTCATGTACTTGATAGCCATTCTCTCCTATCTAAAACTGAAACCCCTCCCTGTTATTATTACATAGACATAGCAGAGATGCAGAGCTACCGCCACCACCCACCAAAAATCAACCACTTCTCTGATCGTTCTCAGACAACCACCCATCCACCAGCGATAAGGATACCACAATGAGGTACGCCTCTCTCCAGTGTTTCGTTCCATTTCCATGCAAAGTAATGGTTCAAGCCCTTCAAGGTTTAGTTCTACGTTGTCCATAGTAAACTCTACTATGCAAGATAGTATTGATTTTGCTTGCTGAAGTCAAAATTTAGAAACAGAAAACATGAATTAACTGAGACATCCCAGACCTCAGCATTACATGTCCACACCCGGGTGAAGTTGCACTGTCATATGACAAATCCATGCATCACAAAAGGGAAAATATGGCTTGAGTGAGCCCAATAGATTGACATATTCTTTCACCAATGTAAACGTTAACGAGGGCCAAAGAGGCATGCCAGATAAATCATTTTCTAACAAAACCAAAAATGATATTTTTTAAGTGAATCAATTAAATATCACACATATCTCTAACAAGTAAACAGGTAGGTAGTTGGCAACCTTGACTTATAAAAATAAAAAGTAAAAAAGATTATTACCATCTCAAGGCCATCTGCAAAGGTGTTGTAAGGCAAGAAGTGAAAACATCAGCAGGAAACTCAGCGCTCTGAGGAAGGGTCTCATGAGCTTCACAAGCTGCAAGCAAGATGCAATCCTTTGCAGCACCAGAGGAAATAGAAGCATCGATAAGCTGGCAATAATCAGAACTGACAATATCATCTACCAACAATTTACCTTTAGGGTCATAAGGAAAAGGGAATTTTAAGCACCAATAAAAAGGTCTATACTACTATACCTCTATGAAAGCATTAACTATATTTCCAGCAGCAGAACAATCAAACACATAGATTGAAGGTGATTTTAGCCAGGAATCCAATTCAGTGGCTCGCAAGGGGATATATTGCGTATAACTCTGCATAAGTGCAAATTGAAGCAAAGAGTCAGCTCCAAGAGTTAAAGCTAAAAGGGAAGTGGGACACTCAAGAACCAATTTACCCTATTTAAGAGCCACATTACACCATCACTCGTTGGTTTTGGTACTCCATGTCCATTGTAGTGAAACAAAATTCTCTTTTTCTTTGCAAAGCTACGATAAGTATTACAAAGTCTCTTCACTTCTTCTACAGTCGGATCAAGCTGGTACTTATACTGAGCCTGTGAAGAAACCAGAAAATTAATATCGAGCAACATCATTCCGAAAACCAGCCAGAAGAGGAAATGAATATGATGATGATAAAAAAAAAAAAAAACAAAAACAAAAGTGTGCTACGGAAAAGATAGATAGTAGTCACCTTGGGTTGCCATCTTTTATATTGCAACTTAAGGGCCATTCCAATGGCTTCCAGTGCTTTTTGACGTGGCACGGCCAATGGGTCTGACACCATAGAACACAGGCTAGAATGAGTAAAAAAAATATTATACAAGCAGCAGCAACAGAGAGGAGATAGAAGCCTCAAAACAACACAGCATAATATCACACTAAAGAAGAAGAGATCAGGAAGAATATGGAAGAACCTACTAAGAATATAAAGTCATCAAGATTCAAGAAAACACAATTCATTCACCAAAAATGCCCCCATCAATCTTTCATGGATTCTTGCTTAATAATTGTTTTTGCTTTGTTTGATTCGATTACACTTGAATTGATCTTTCAAGCTAAGTGATAGAAGCCATGTTTATACCATGATCTTTTTACTTTTAACATCACAAATCTGTAGATAAGGGCATGACTAATTATAATTGAGAAGTATTTTTTTGTTTAATTCATGTAATTGGCCAATAACATGAGTTAAATATCTACCTAAAAAGAATTAAAATTGAAAGATGATACTATTTCTAATTTCTAAAGGCTTAACTACATGGAAAATTGCATTATATAAAAAGGTGCGAGGTGCACCAAGGCACAAAAGTCCTTGGAGCCTCAGTGCAAGGCGAAGGCACACACAAGTCTAAAATAAGAATTTTAGGAAAAGGTAAAAGGGTCATGTTTCCAATAACTAGGGTTCTTCGAATGGAGTTGGGGATACACTCGATACAGCGGTTTATCTCTCCTCAAGTATCAATGTAAAACTCACCATTGCAAAGTCACATGGGTTTTTAAAACTAATCATCTTGCACTAAAGTTATTGACACCTTAAAACATAAGGCGCAAATAGCTTTGCATACCAGGAAAAAGTACACATGCACGAGCCTTTTTTAGGCATTTGTTAAATTGTAAGGGTTAATACAAGACTATAAAATTAACAAATACTTCAATTACATAGTTTAAATATAATCACGGTGCAACAACAAAGCATCACTGTTTCACATTGTATAGGATAATTTATTAACCCAGCAAATATTGTCCATATCAACAAAGGGTATTTCAAAAACCCGCGATCTTATCCGAATCAAATGTTTCCCATATCACCCAAACATTATATCTCGTATTTCAGTCAAAAGTTACTTCCTATTTAAAGATACAGTGAAAGATTCCCCAATCTCTCACCATTAATGACTCTAATCTTCTACTAATCTACTCTAATTACTCAATATAGTACAATTATTATAAATTTCAATAGCATACAATGGTGACACGGTCTGCTTTCAACTCATCATATCCGTTCTTGTGACACCGCAACAATTTCCACAATTATAACTGAGACCACATTTCGAACCAAGCTTATAATTTAACTGAATTACGCCATAGAATTGCTACAAGCATGGTACAAACACCTTAAGACTTGTACAAAAATGAATACAACTCCTTTTACTTTAAAGTTTTAGTTTAGTTAACAAATCAACCAAATCATTTATCCTACCTTTTAAAAAGTATGAGAAAACACTTATCAATAGTGTGAGAACAATTATATCCATAAAATGTTTATTTATATGATGTTCATTGCTTCTAAGCTTTTCCTTGTGTGATTTAATGATTTAACTCTTATGAATAGTGCTTGGACAATTATACCATCTAAAATGTATATTTACTTATTTGCCCTCATTAACGTTATTTACTTATTTGCCCTCATTGACGTTAATAGTCTTTTTTTTTTTTAACTCTTAAGAATAACGTGTGGACATTTATATCCCTAAAAATATTTGTTAACATATTTTCCGTCGTTATGTTATGTTGCCAGAGCTCTTAGTCTTTGCTAACAAAAGACAATGAGCACTTGTTGTATTGTATAATTTAAAATCATCATAGCCGACCCCACTTATGGAATTAAGGCTTTGATTGATTGATTGATTGATACCCCCATTCATGGATTTCAAAGGTTTTCTTTTTCCTTTGGTTAAGCACCATACATCAGTAAGACGACCTTTTCAAAGTTTGATGACATTCAGAAATGGCAGCAACTTAACAGCAATCAAACTTTTCAAACAATCTTTTACTTATTATTATCTTCATCAGATATTTCAATAGATATATTCATTCTGCCATTATCATTTAGGACTTACGATTAAATAATCAAAACTATGCCATCTTCAATATAACATTTTAAACTTAGTATCATGTAATGTTGCTAAGAAAATTACAACTACATACTAATCAAATAATCAAGGAGACTATTTTCTAATAAAAATAAAAATAAAAATTGACCATAAAGATGCTAAACAAGCTTGCTTGCCCCTAAAGGAGTTCCCAATTTTCAGTAGCGAAATTATATAGAATAAGTTCAACTTAACACAAAAACATTAGGAGCATCTCATCTCCATTTCCATTGAATCGTCATTATCAACAAAGGGAATTTAGCCTTAAGGTTCTTCAGGTGCACAATGAGCATTGTGCACCCGGGACCACAATCCAATAATTAGTCTAGCCGAATCTAAGTAACATATGTTACAATTAAATAAACATGAAAGAAGTAAGACGTACCTATCCAGCACTCCAACCTCGCACATGGAGATATCTTAATAACGTCAGGTGGGTCACAATTGATATTTAGACATAGAACAAGAGCTGCCATTTCTGTCATCGTCTGCAAAAATATATTGGTATTGTAAGAGATGGATCTACTGAGAAACACTTAAGTGGTAAGCATTGAACAACCAAATCTCATCCTAGGAAAAATCAGAGTCGTGACAGAAGAAAAAAGAATGACAGCAGTACGCATCAAAAGCCAATATACATGTATATCTGATTCAAGATCAATTTCTGAGAAATTTCTGAGACCTAAAACATTGAAAATATAATAAAAAGGTAATGTTTGAGTAAATATTCAACAGCCAACCCGATGATTGGCAACTAGGATCAATTTCAAAGTGAGGATCAATTTCTAATTACTAAATGAGCAGAAACCACATTATGAGCATAAATTTCTATTTTGATACTTCAAGATTGACATAAAACCTAAGCCATTATGAATGATAAAAACAAGCCAAGCCCCTTGTCCATAAATTCCTGAGCCAGCAGTTAAGGTCAGCCATCCTTATCCTGCCTCTTCGTTTACTTGAATCCACACAACCAATATCCAAATTACACAAAATCTAGCTTTCTCATTAGTTTCTTCACCTATATGATGTCTGCTTTCCAGAAGATATCTTCCAATGGCTAAAGCACTAGCAAATCACCTCTTCTCCAATCTTCAACCATTCTCTCAAGTCTACGTTGAATTGACCAAAAAAATGCAACTCTTTGCGATACATGGAACCAAGCATCCTAGGAAACTACTAACCAGGGAAGAATGAACTACTGGACACATTATCTTACCAACAAAAAATACCAGAGCGCAATTCCAAAGCTGATTTGTGCCTAAGACAACAGGAGAGCCCAGAGAATTTTCCAATTTCCAAATGATAAATACTTCGGAGTATTTCCAAGCTCTTTCTAGGCTAAATAGTCAATTTCTATAATTGTCTTCTTAACAGCAAATTATAGACATTTAAGTATTTAATTTAATGAGTCTAAAAGATTCAACAATCTGTGGTTTTCAAAATAGTTCATCTCTCCATTTATTTATTTATATCATTTTTCACACAAATCCATACAGCACTGTTATGCACTCCATTGTACATAGAAGTCGTACCACATTGCATACTCAATGAAAATTAATTGAAGATTGTCTCAGCACGAGTAATGTTCACTCTTCACAAATTTGATTAACTGAAGATAATCTCAACACGAACAAGGTTCACTCTTCACAAATTTGATTAATCGAAGATAATCTCAACACAAGCAAGGTTCACCATCCACAAATATGATATATGGACTTCCTAAAAGTATCACACACAAATAAGAGTATATCTTGTAATCCTCTAATTTGGAAATTCAAAGCTCAAAAACTCATTAACCAACAACAGATTTCTAAAATCTCAAAGAAATACACCCAAATTCTACTCAATATTAATACAAAATCAACATTCACAGATTTTCATACATTATACAATTACCCAATTCACATATAATATTTTTCACACAAGATAGAAGCAGCAATTACAACCAAAACAAAGCTACTCAACACTTAAGATCAAACCCCGTCCACATCATTGTCCTTGCGGCTCTCTTCACACCCAAAAATCAAATAAAAAACAGAAGCAAAGCAACTCAACACTTGAGATCAAACCCCGTCTACATCATTGTCCTTGCGGCTCTCTCTAAATAAATCAATCAAAGCAACAACCAAAACAAAGCTAATCTTGGAATATAAATAGGAATCTTACTCGGTCTTTAAGCCGCCATTTCGAAACAAACCCACTCTCAGAGGGGACGGAATCCTCGTAAAACTCAATACTTGGAGGAAAGTACATCGTACCACCGCCGCCACTGACGCTAGCGGTGTCGGAAACTTCCTCGGCACGACATCGATACAACCCGACTTCGGCAAGAGGGGTACTCGACCAGGGTGCAGACCTCATGGAGTAAAGGTCCATTTTCTTGGTTGGGTCCTAACATTTAAGGTTCCATTAACAAAAGCTTGCAACATATTAGCCACCAAATTTGACTCTCTTGAAAGTATGCTCGAAAATATACATTAAAATTGACTCGATAGTCAACTAATTGTAGTAGGTTGACAGGTTGTAGCTTTATTTGGTAACAGAATAACATAAGCATAATTACAATGTTTTATCAATAGTTAGGTGATAGGTTGTACACTCATCCCACAACAAAAATCACATAAAGGTCATTTTTTTCCACTTTATTTTAAAAGGTCATTTCTCACAAAATAGGTAGCATAAAATTAAAGGTAATTTTTGACAAATTTTCCAATAAACTATGCTTTGTAGCTAAAGTTGTGCATTGCATTTTGAGACAATTGGTAACATCGAAACATAGCTTAATGTCATAAAAATGTCAAATTTCCATCATGAATTGCACTTTAGTTACAAGTTGTACAATTTCTTAACATGGTTTTAAGGGAAGCTGGAAGCAAGAGTAATATGAGTAGTGTCACATTGTCACACCAATTGAATGATTTCATAACAATCTCACATGCACTCTTATTGCCACCCTACATCAAGTGCAATGGAAGCTTTGGTGTATCCTATATTAAAGGACTGAAACTTTATTTGAAGCTTGAAGGCGTTGTTTTCGAATGGTCATTTGATGCTAACCATTGTTAAGTGTTGTTGCATTACTGATGAGTTATTCTTTGTGAAGTGAGATTCAAGAACTATAATTTAATGGCGTTTAAACTGATTCTTTATTAGGAATCACATTAATGTTTAAATGGTTACATGATGGTGTATGCTTTGTTATGTAATTATGTTAGTTGAACATCTATCATATATACTTGTACCGGGTGATCTTTTTATACCTTAAATTTTGATGTTTTTGTTACATAGTACTGGCATAGTGAATGAGTTGGACAGTTGGTCATGCAACAAGCCAGCACTTTTTATTTCTAGAAAGTTAACGAATTTGCTTAATACGAGTTAGAACTTGCATCTTTCATTACATACATGAAGTTTATCATGTATACTTTATTAGGTGCTTTCCTGTAGCGCATGCTTGATAATAAGCACGTTAACTCTTGGTCTGCATTGTTTCTAGCCTTATAGGTGAAACTTTGCTTTGCTCACACAAATATGAATGAAAAAATAAAAGGTAAATATTTTGGTTAATTGTAAATAGTAGGTTCCATTCTTGTGTTAACTCTGGTTGTGTCTGTATGCTCAGTAATGTGAAAGCCTTTAGTAGTAGAGATGTAACTTATTGAATCACTAGAAACTGATGCACGGTGTATAAATACGTATATGCACCTCTCCAGATGCGTTCCTGCAGCAGTTGATTACACCTTCCTCAGCCTCAGTGAGTGTGGAATACTCATGTGTGCCGCCTGCTTGTGCTATTAGAAGAAGTTGAAATGAGTTCAGTTAATTATACCTTCCTCAGCCTCATGCGTGCTTTTGTTAAACTTACAATGTGCAGGAAGCTTTAGAACGGTTCAAAGTCTGCAGTTATTTGGTGCATCGTGGATAATTCTGTAGCACTTGTTATCCGTGACAATTGTTCTGGACTCAAGCTGTTCAGGCTGATCTCTTGTTCTTTATAGATCAATGCCTTGTCAATAATAATAGACGGCTGGATACCTACCATAGTGTTCGTGTTTCTGACTACAGACTAGTTGAAATTATGAGGAGATTCGCGACAAGGCTAGCTGCTGGTATATCAATGTGCACTTGAGATGTGATCAGCAGCATTGTGCTCAATGTGCTGGAACTTTAAGGCGCTGCTTTGCTTTGCAGAGCGGATCAATTCATACGGCACAAGAACCAGCCTATGCAAAGTAGCTAGCTCTTTGAATTTTGCCAATTTTAGTAGACTAGTTTTACTACAAGTTGGTAAGGTCAATAATATTCCCTCATATATATAGCACTTGTGAATTGCATAATTAACTTGTTAAAGTCTTTTCTTCAACTAAGTTCACTTAAATTTGGACTAGGAGCTGTCATGCATACTCATATATACCCCTTTTGACTTTTGAGAGTTAGAGACAAAAGGTAAAGGAGGTAATTCTCTTGTCAAAACGGATTAATCTCACAAACAATCCTCCTATTACACTCAAATATACATTATTTGGCACTAATGCCTAAGGATCAATGTGACCACAAGACAAGACCTGTAGATGCTCATACCATCCATCATCAAATTACCTACTAGAAGAGTTGCCGTTGTTGATCCTTCAAATCCTGAATTTCATCGCGGGTTCTTTGGAAAAGTTCTAGAACGTCCAATTTGCCCAAAACAAGAAATATTAATGGTTAAAGGTGTCTATCAAAAAGAGATGACGTATTGATTTGCCGATTCATTCTTTCTCGTTCTCCCCTAAGAAAATTCAATAAAAATTAATACGACTATTATAGAAAAATATTACAGGTAATTAAGTCAACCTTGCTATATACTGTACTTTGTATAATTGGTAGACACAGCTAGTACGAGTAGTCTGGTAGACTATCCTATAGTTTTGAAGGTAAATGTACAAAACTATGGTAACCTAAGTAGTTCTAAAACAGATAAAAAGATATGAAGATGTGATCCCATAAACTTTATATTCACTTAATTTTTTAAAATTTAACTTATTTAAAATTTACAATACATTAAGGATAATAATTAGTTTTTCTACATACATAACGAACTAACGATGATGGGTTGATAGCCATGAGTTATGCAATGTCTTCTCGATTTTAAGGATATATAGTGTAGACGTGTATCTTTTTATTTCACTTACTTTTTTTTTTTGTTCTCTCTTTATTATTTTAAATCTAATATGATATGATGTGAACGAAATTTAATTGCCAATATTGAATTCAACCCCCAAAATTTTACCAATCATGCATCAAAGCCACTCAAAATCTCAATATACTACGTATATTACAAACATCCTGAAAATAATAATATAGGACACATCATTTGAAGTGTCCGATACCGTATTGAACACGTGTCAAGTCTGATTATCGGGTACAACATACACCACCAGGAGCCACCACCTATTGGAAGTACACCGTAGTACTCTTACACCAAACGAAGGCACACATGAAAGGGCGCAATGCCGGAATTAAACCCCTATAGGACGTGGGTCTGATGAGTCACGGGCAGATGCGTCTTATGTCTCATGGCTCGATCACATGACTTATAATAGTAGGGGTTAATAAAGGTCGGACCCATTGCAATGAATTCTCCCTTTTATCACTGACTAAACCATTTTTGTAACTTAGTAATAACTAGTTTGCCTATGTCACATGGACCTTCTTAAATCTTCTCAACATCATTGTTTATCATCTATATTTGTATGCAATTATATGTTATGATTGGCCTCATGATTCTTGTTTTTGGTACTCTTCTACTCCATGATTTCTTCATCTATTTTTGTATGACACACTTTTTGTTCCTTAATTATTATATTATCTTTAAGTATTTGGGTACAGATAAGTAGACTTTATTAATCTAAACATACTACTTCGTATTAAATTAAACAAGAAATTAAAGGCATTGACTCTCTTCTCTTATATATATATTATATAAGTGCGTAATTAATAACACAATTCTTACACCAATACACTTACAATTAAAAGGCTTTTCATTTTGTTTTGAGTACATACAAGATATAACGTACTTATGAGCTCATTATTCACTCCAAGCCAATAATAGTTGGGGTACGATTACTTTTTTTTTTTTTATGTACAGGATTTACATCATATTGAAATTACACATCTTGTAATAATGATCGAACATAAACTAATTCAGCTTGATTAGAGCTACTTGACCTACTTGATGTGTGTATATTTTAACTTTATTTGTCTAATTGTGTTTAAGCTTTACCCAAAAGTTAGCTAAATTGCATATAGAAATGGACAATCCTAATTAAAAAGTTTAAATAGAAAATAATGGAGAAAGGTAGTCCGTATAACTTTTAGACTGCATTGGTTTAAAATTATATATGATTAAGATCGTGTAAAATAAACACATGATAATGCGTTACTTAGTACTTAAATTTTTTGGTAGAAGTGGTGTATCTAACATAATTGATTCTCCATATTTGTTTGGCAAAAGATAAGACCAACTAGCTAATTCCAATTTGAATTGACGTTGAAAGCCTTAATGATCACTTATGAAAACAAATTCAATTCTTTATAAAACCGTACACATTATGGTATATACTCTTTTCGTCTCAATATATAAATTAGTAAATTACGTATTGCCTATATATATATTGTTTGATTAGTAAACATTTCGTGCTCACTCTACTGTTTTTTCTGCTACTCTGCTTCTGAAACTTTGTACCACTTTACTTTTGATCGCACAAAAAATACATAAGGAGTTCATATAGATTGAAGTATTGGGTAGTAAGAAAGAATGCAAGGGGCATGCGTACTGGCATGGCTTAGAAATAGTTACTATAATGACGATCCCAATCCATGGCTCCCTACCTACTACACTATACATATATGTATATGATATATTTCCTCCGTTTCATAATGATTATATATATAAAGTTGATATTTAAAAATTTATATTGAGAAGTTTTCACAAGACTATATATACCTAAATATACAGTCAAAGTTTCTAAATTTGACCTCTAAAAAAGAGAAATGGTACGGTGCAACTTCATTATTCGAAATGTATAAGTACTATGAAATCAATAGAAAATCCAACCAAATTATGCAATAATATAAATTCACTTTAAAAGGGAAAAAAGTATACTGCTGGCGTATTTCAATTTGCTATGAAAGATCTCAAGTCTCAACAATGATAACTAAAGCAAAAAGGTTCTTGGAAGATATTTATGTAATCAATAATTTTAAACTTTCTTATAATAAAAAAATTAACTTTCTAATGATGATATTTTATATTTGTCCCTACTCGTAATACTCATCTCTAATGATGTGGCAAAAAGTCACTAATTAATCAGTCAATATGAGATAATTAAGGTAGGTTTAATTCACCTAGTTTCCCACTAAGTATTTCTTTTTGTACATTATTATTATTATTATTATCTTCTATATTATATACTTTATTACT